GATGTGCCTATAATTGCGTACCTAACGTATTATACACGTACGAATTGAAACTTCGTTACAATATAATTCTTCTTTTATTTTATATTTTACATAATTATAGTGTACTCATGCAGCCCCTGGGATACGTTACAAGGAAATGGTACAAGAAAATGTGAGGTTTTTATTTTTTATGCCGTAATAAATTACTCTACTACGTCGAAAAAAAAGTTTCATTACAATAATTTTGTAAGCGTTTAAACGCATGCGGAGGAATAGGTCACAAAAAGGTTTAATTTATAGCAAAGTTGAATTTCTAATTTTTTTTAACTTTGCCACAATTGTCAGCAACTGAGAATACGAACAAGGAAATTCGATTAAATGATTCGACGGAAACGAACAACATCGAGCGGTGAAGTGAGTAGCGGTATTGAGAACAACTGTAACCTAAGCGGCTTGATGGATTTCAGCATATGAGCTGTGACATAGGTTATAACAATTTCATTCACTTTTTTCTTAAACCTTTTTTACTAAATACGCCGAAGTATCAAATTAACTAAAGTTAAAATGTTTTTGAGTTAAATTAGATAAAATTAACTGAAAAAACGTTAAGATTTCCCGTGTTCTTTGATTATGGGACAGGCTAAGACGGTTTTTGTTTAAAATCAAAAGCGATTGAAATATATTATATTTTACGCAAATCACTTTAAAGATAAATTTAAACATAATATATTTTCACAGATAGTGTGTATCTGACTGTCTTTTTTTTTGTCGTCGATCCTCGTCCAAAACCTAATTAGGGTTGTTATTTCACATTTTCATACACAGTTAGTTTAACAATATTATTTTGCAATCACCCCGGCTTTAAATCGGTGACGTTAAAATTTGATTAAAATGCTCTCGATCAAAAATCCTCTGTTATCTATAATGAATTGTAAAAACACATTCATTTAAGTAGCCTATGGTACCTACATTAGGTGATTCTGTACCGTAGACTCCAATTTAGCATTAACTATATATGTTTATAGTTTTCGCTCTTTTTACATAAACAAAATAAAATAAATACCTTACGTTTTTATTTACAATAAAAGCGCCAAACTAACCCACTTGATGGTAAAAGCATGCTATAGACCATAGACACCTGCTTTATCCTTGATTTAGAATCAAAATGCAGATGCGTTGTCACCCCTGAGGCTCATATAGAACGCCTCGTTTCTAATAAAAAGGGTCACCGGTTCTCTACACTAACCAAATGCAACACAGCATCATTTAGAAGCCATATTACGCTGTTATTCTGTGAGAGTGTGGTCCTTCCCCGGTCAAACCGACACAATTGTGCTTCGTGGCTCTACTATATACATAATCATGAAACAAACATTAAGATGTATAATAAAATGTTGCATGTATTTCTTAATAACAATTAATTGCTTAAGAAATCCCAAAAATGACTGAAAACCTTCGAATACACCAATTTTAAATTTTTAAGTGATTACGCGGACAATTTTTTTTTTATTATAAGGCTTCAGTTTATATCGCACTCATCCTATATCACAGTTATGTTAAGACATTGACGAACAATTTAAATCTCATATTCCTTACTCGTCGGAAAATGCATTAAATTTCATATACGTGAAATACGAAAAAGTCTTTTTAAGTCCGGTACTAGAATATTGGCTAACGTTACCGAGACTATTTCTACTTATTTTTATAAGATATTTTATAAAACAGCTTACTTACATTTAAACTGTTTTATAAGTACATATTCACAATTGCTGAGCCGAATAATGCGTGAGACGGAGTTTTAAATATCGATAGAGTTCTGAAAATATCAGATGAACTGAGTGCTCATTTGCTATCTGAACATGTATAAAAAAGCAGATGAAAAACTATCTATATTAAGTACGCATCGGCAATAGAATTTTGCAGTTTAAAGTTTTTTACTATAGCCTATCTGCTGAACACAGATCTTCCCTATAGATTGATATAGTTGGCACACGCTTGGCAAGCGGGTTGGCAACCGCAGTTTAATATTTCAGTCATTACTCTGAAGACGCTGCTACCCATATCATGATATTTCCCTGGCGCCTCTTACGATATCCACGCGATAATAAGGGTTTTTCTATTAATTAAAAAACATTCAAACTAAACGCGTTAAAGGTAAGAGCGCATTACTATTTAAGCAATCCAGTTGCGGAATTCCGATTGAATTTTTATTGGTTCGAAATTGAATGGTAAATGCTAATAAAAACATGTGGAAGAGAAATTTACATTCTTAAAATAAATCCTGAAATTGTGTACCGTTTGTGTTATATTGAGTTAAGCCAGTAAAAAGGACCGAAGCGGCTTATTTAAAAATCTATATATCTATTATATACATAAGTAACGGTCCGCCCCGGCTTTGCACGGGTGATTTCTGAATCTCGACGGCAGCGCCACCTACCGGGTCTAAATATGCTTTAAGACCTATTTTCATACCTACCAAATGTACACAAAACATTCATAAATATCGGTTGAGCCGTTTCGGAGGAGTGCGACCACAAACGCTGTGACACGAGATTTTTAGGTTATAGGTTTAGGATAGGATAGTCTTTTTTTGCCCATGAGTGACCCACAATTTTTTTGAGAATTTAAGGATTTTTAATAGCACATGACAAAAGGTCGTCGAAAAGAGCAGAACAACGTCTGCCTGGCAAGCTAGTACATATATATATGTATATATAAAGTGACTTTATAAAATGAATAGCTGCAGCGTGGCGTTATTACCTAGTATTTCTATACTCGTAGTAAATCAACAATGAACTTCCCTCGAAATAGAAACGTGCGTCCACAAATGAAATATATTATTATAATTTGAAAATGAAATATATTTCATAATTTTCACCGAAAAAAGCATTTGAACATTTATAACAACTTGCCTAATAACTCGCTGAGTTGTTCATGAACGAGTACGATGCGTTCACATATTAGATTTTTTAAACAAAGTTGATTTACGTCTCGTTTCTACGACATTATCTCTACTTAATTTTATAGAATCACTAATATTAAAAATAACAAAAGATGAAAAGACGGCAGAAAATTTAGAAATAGTTAGTATTAAGTGGTATCTATAAAAGTAGTAAAACTCTTGTGCAATTCTTCATCTCAGATGAACCAAGAATATTTACTTACTCACTTAACATACTTATTTTTTAATATATTTTGTCAAAGAAAGGTAAATATTACAGAAAATATAACGGTACATTGGCTCGTCATTGGTCAACTGAACAATGACGAGTATGTACACACGGATACAAATACACACGAACGCTCCTTTGACTTGTATTAATAAACCGACATCGAGTGAAAAACAAGTGAATACTCGGGCTGAGTAGGGAACATAGCCAGAAAATTCGTTTACATGTTCGTACTCGTGCCTATTCGTCTGTGCTCGGCAAGTATCTAAACGTTCCACTATAATTTTTACACCTAAGAGCTAGCGCGCACTACGACTTTTTCCCTGCGCGATTATTTTATCGCAGAAATGCAACGTATAAGTTAGTAAGACTTATACGTATTTTAAAATTGTGATTTGTCACATTTTGACGCGACTACTCGCGACGCGATTGTCGCGAAAATAAAATGCAGCGTATGAAATTGTATGGTCTCGCCCGCACTGCGATCGTAAAATCGCGCACTCGGGCCGGCCGGCGCTTCATTCATGTCCTGTCCTTTCAACAGTAAACATGTCGGCGCCTGCATCTCCAATGGAGTCTCCATCTCCAAACGACACAAAGATAAACGTGGAACATTTGATAATCACAGTACAAGAAAGACCAACTTTGTGGAATAAACATTCCAAAGAATATAGTGATAGAAATTTGAAAACGCCTTTATGGCAGGAAGTATGCGAACATGTTATACAGAACTGAGCTGAACTAAGCAACTAAAAAAAAAACACGGTAAGATTTATTATATTTTTGCCATGGAATAGATCCGCTGGATGAAGTGAAGTAGTTTCCAAAATAATCTCGTATTTCAATACAATTAACTGTAGGTCGCGCAGACGTGGGATCCATATTTCTTAGATCACATCCATACAATTCGTCTTTGAATCGTATTCCATCGTATTTCCGTACAAAATTGTGTAGGCTACAACATGCTTTGACTATTTTGTCACAAAACTCAATTTTAACGTCTAATGATCGATTCAAGATACGCCATTTATTTGTTAAAATTCCAAAGGTGCATTCTAACATTCTTCTTGCTCTTGTCAGCCGGTAATTAAACACTCTCTGTTTAATTGATAAATTCCGTCTGGGATATGGTCGCATGATATGTTTCGAGAGTGCAAATGCTTCATCTCTAACAAAAACAAACAGCATTTTAGGTCCATCTGTATCATTTGGTAAATTTCTAGGTTGAGGTATATATAACAGGTCATTTTCCAATTTCTTTGCGAAATTGGTTTGCTTAAAAATTGTAGAATCACTGCTGCTTCCATATGAACCGATATTTATCATAATAAATGAATAATTCGAATCAGCTACAGCTATCAAAACGATAGAGTTATATTGTTTATAATTAAAAAACTCTGAGTCTGCTCCATTTGGTTTCTCCAGTCTAATATGTTTTCCATCCACCGCGTCCAAGCAACTAGGAAAGTTTGTTCTTTTATAAAAACCCTCAGCAATTTTTAACCAATCATTTTCTTTCGGTTCGGGCATATATATTAGATGCAAACAAAACCGTAGCTTTTCACATGTATCTTCTACTATTTCACGAATTGTGGTAGCTCCTAATAAATATTCCTAACAAAAAGAGTAAAAACTGTTTCCCGATGCAAGATATCTGAAAAAAAAAAGAAAAATAGTAGAAATTAAGAGTATTTATAGTATTTGGGGTTGGTGGGATCTATCTCCTAGCAACGTCTGTTGGCGGCTAAACGATCCCACCAGCGTTGGTAGGCTCCGCAAGGGGCCGCCTGGCTTGCGACCAACATGCCCATCTACAATAAACAAATACAAAAATTTTCATTTATTTTACAGGTGCTGATATACAGAGAAAGTGGAAAAACTTGAAGAACTGTTTTTCTAGAGAGTTAAGTGCGCAAAAAAAAGTGAGTCGGGTTAATCTGGTAAGAAGAAACGAAAGTATATTTTCTTTGATCAACTATCATTCTCTGATACCTATTACTACTTCAAGAGACACTAGTGGCAACATCAAATCTATTGAAGAATGTGCAAATTCGGAAACTCAATCGGACGAGAATAATAGCCAACAGAAGCAGAATTCCAGAAAAGCTATATACCAACGTAAGACAGGTGCTCAAGGACGAAAAGAAAATACTGATGAAGAGGAACTATTGAATATTTTACGTAAGAAACAAATTCTTGATGAGGATATTAGTTTTGCAGAGATGTTGATTCCAATGTTACGGAAACTAAATGAGGATCAAAAATTTTATGCAAAAATCGTATTTTTAAATGCCATGGATAGGGCTAAAAATATGTTCCGCAGCCTTTATACCCCGGATCAATGCAAACTGCTTTCCAACCTGTATATTCCACACCAATGCTAAATCTTCCACAGTTTATACACCCTGGATCAGCTAATAAAATTCTGGTGACTATTCCTCCACCGACATACACGAATACCAGTGCCACATATATTAATTCCGAGCCGGGAACATCCTCGTCTAATTTTGTTAATCCACGAAATATTGTGATCAGCACGAAGAAACTCTCTGCAAAAAACCGTTGATTGAAGAGAATTTCAATGAATTTAATACGAGCAATGACTATTATGAACGATTTGGACAATATTTGCAGGCTTCTGAATCCGGGATTTCCCAAGACTTTGATGATTACTTTGACGTGACAATGTCGACGCTTTAATACATTTTATAGGTACTTATTAACTTAGTATACTAAATAATTATAATATATTTGTTTGTTTTACTTACCTGAGGGTGACTGATAGCCTTTCTTCAGCTGGTATTGCATTTCGCCATCTAGTATTTTTGTATTCATTATGAGATCCAACAATTCTCAGTAATCTGTCAAATGTTTGAATTATCATTCTATAATAGCCAAAGAATTTTTTGGGATACATTCGAGGTTCATGGTATTTCTGATAAAAGAAACCTTTGATAATTCTATCCGCTATAAAAGGATGAGTCCAGTATTGACGAATTTTATTATTTTTTCTTCTGATCCTCCGAAGTATTAAATAAAGACAAGCAACTTGTACGGAATCCATGGTGTAACTGAGCAAAGATCACAATTTTTTTATCGCAGTGCGCGCACCGTACGCTTTGCGATTTTTTACAGCGTGATTTTAAATCGTGTCGCAAAAAGAAAAACCGTGGTGCGCGCTAGGCCTTACAAGACTTCTATACATGTTGAACCGGGCATGTGTCAATTGTGATTGTTTCTGTTGTTTGACCTGGGTCGTATAAGAGTACCGATAATAGCGGTTACTTTTTGAACGACCCGTTCTACATACACAGTTGATACAATCTTTTAACCTGTGACCTGTAATTGCCAAGAGACGCGAATGTGTTTCTTTCTTATTATTTTTATTAATACTTTTTATTATTCAAAATAAATGTGATAACATAAGGCAAAAACGTGTTTATGCGAGTTTTAGATAATCGTAGAAACTATTTGCAAACTAAAGTACCTTTATGGCATATGTATATGAGATACAGTAATTATTCATATTTTTTAAATTTATTTACATAACATTTTAATATAAAATAATTATTAAATAATAAAAAAATTGTGCAAGTATTGTGTCATTCTTCTTTTATTTTATATTTTACATAAGTAGGTTAAATAATAGCATACTCATAAAGCCCCAGCGGTAAAACTTTACAAGAAAACATGACATTTTTGATTAACAATACCGTACTAAACTTCTCCACTACGTCGATAAAGAAATTACACTTCAATAATTTTTCGTGTAATTGTGTACATACGTACTAAGTGAAATTTGTTTACGACATATTATCATTTTTCTTTTATTTTATATTTCACATGGCGACACACAGCGGTGAAACGTGTCAAGAAACCGTGACGTATTTTATTTTTAATACTGTACAAAATTTTTTCAATACATTATCATTGTCATATAATGCGGTACAGTGCCTAGAACGAACGCTGGCTGCGTTTCCTTCAATGGCTATATTTAGCCTTTGAGCGAGAAGAGAACGAGCCCTTTAATTACCGGCAGTGACGACTAGACGCGGCTACAGTTTCTTTAGGATCTTCACTGCATTTGGATCTCACGAACTAGTAGTGCCTATCGCAAATTTAAATTACAATTTTTTTGCAGTTTTAAAGCTTCGAACATTATGCAGTATGACGAATAAATGCTTGAAATAACGATCAGGTCACTAGAATTGAACGATTAACACATAACTCTGTTATCTATAATCAGATTTTTTATCTCCAAATTGTAGTAGATTACTGGCAATACGTTTAGGAGAAAATTTTAATTACGTCGGCTCTCTTTGTAGAAAATGCAGTAAGGTGTGTAGCAAATGTAATTTGTAAGTTTAAGTAAGTCAATTATTTCCTAATTGACGTTAATTCTACTGTGCTCTATTTCTCCTAGCTTGTAGCTGGTATAAATATAGTTACTAATTAGTATACATGATCGAATACGTAAGAAACTCAGTTTCGATCTCCGCCAAACAAAAATGTTAATTGCAATTGATAGTGCCGTTTTGCCTTGTGTGACAAGGTGAAGAAACCTGACGAAATTTGCATGTCAGAGAAATAAAAAAAAATAGAAGACATGTAAAGTCAACCAACGCGCATTAGGATGCGTTTGCAACAGAGATGTGTGAGGTAGCTAAGCAGTGCGCAAGAAAAAATTCACCAATATTAGTAGTTCAGTTTTTAGCCATTTGAGCGCAGCGCAAGGAAAAGGGCATAGCGGAGTGAGGAATTTGTACATACAAAGAAACGAGAGATGTGTGTGAAATACGCGAGTGAGATAGGTGTACAAAGAATGTGTGCGGTTCCATGGAGAAAATAGACGATTTGCGAGGCGGTGTGGACTAGACCACTATTCAATCGACCTCAGTGAATCCTCAATTAGTGAAAAAAGTCTACTACGCTTCCTCACACGGCTCAAATTCCTCCTATAGTTTTGGTCAAAAGAGTCACGTCGTGTCACAGTTCCACTAGACCCCTTCGCTTCGGTCAGCTTCCTTGCACCTCTAGCGCAGCGGACTCTACTTTATATATAGGCTACTATTATTATACTTTCCCTTTTTGTTAATATAATAAGTGACCTGACGGCTTATATAAAGCGGTAATTATTTAAGGGGTTTTGGCTGGAGGTTACTCCATCCCCACGCTCTTAGTATTATAATAATTTATGTTAAATAGCCGTCATGTCCTAACTCATTTGATAAGCGCTCATCGTAAATTTGAACTAGGTACCCAAGCAACCTTCGTTCTATCCTCGCTGGTACCATTGTAATTGTTAATCGTAGTTTGAGTGTTAATTTTCCACGTAGCTATTCATAGGTAAAGGGCAATCAAAGGTCGTGCAAAACAATGTAAAGATTTTTTTTAAATAAAATTGATGTAACAAACGATCTTACTTGTTGGTAGGGTTGTCATGTATATGATGCTTTAATGATCGTTATTTTTTTTTTAGTTATAAAAAGTTCCCGCTGGATTTCTTGCTGGTTCTTCCCAGTACTGAGTCTTTCCGAAAAAGTTGTAAAAATAAAAGGACTTTCAATTAAAATTACTCTATCGAAATCTATATTGAATAAAAATATTTTGTTATATTCTATACTCTTCATATTGAAACACAACAGTGCACACATCTGAATGAATCTATCGGGAACAATCATACATACATACATAAACACTCACGCCTGTCACCCAGAGGGGTAGGCAGAGACTACAGACTTCCATTTGGCACGATCCTGACACACCTCTCTCGCCTCCTTCACATCCATACATCTACGCATGCATGCTCGTCGGTTAAGGGTACTCCTAATTTGGCCCGTTTTCAATAAATCGCCAATTTGGTCGATAAATGTTCGCTTAGGACGTCCCTTTCCGACTCTGCCATTCACTTCTGCAACATAAATTTTCTTTGTCACTCTTTCCTCATCCATTCTTTCCACATGACCAAACCACCGAAGCATTCCTTTCTTAATCCTGGTCACAACATCATCTTGCAAACCACACTCTTCTCTTATCACACAATTTTTCACCCTGTCATTCAGATTCAGACCTAACATACTCCTTAACGACCGCATTTCTACTGAATTTATTCTACTCTCGTGCTTCTTCTGCCACACCCAACTTTCACTACCATACGTTAAAGTAGGGACCAGCACAGCATTGTGAATTGCCATACGTGCCTTTTTTGACACATTTTGACTCTTCACAATAGAGTGCAGGGCCCCATTTACTCTGTTTCCTGCGTTCACTCGTCGTTCTATATCCTTATCATATCTCCCATCCCTGCTAAATACGCAACCCAAATATACAAACTCATCTACTTGCTCGATCAACTTCCCTTCTATTCTTATTTCACATATCGTTTTACTTTCATCTCTTTCAAAAACCATAATTTTCGTCTTACTTGCGTTCACTTTCATACCCCTTTCTTTTAATGATCTGTTCATTAATGTAACCATCATTTGCAACTCGGCCGCCGACGACGCAAGAATAACTTGATCATCGGCGTACAAAAGGCATTTGATGGTTAACTCACCCATTCTTAATCCGCATTCTTCAACTTTCAAATTTTGCAAACAACTGTCCATAAATAGGTTGAACAACCACGGGGAAGCCACACAGCCCTGTCTGACACCTTTATGGATGTCAAACTAGTCCGAGTAGACCCCGTTGATCCTAACACAAGCACTAGAGTCCCTATAAAGAGATTCCAATGCCTGTATCAAGCCAGCGCTCAACCCAAATTAGTTCAGTGTTTGCCATAGCACATTCCTATCCACTCTGTCATAGGCCTTCTCCAAGTCCATGAACGCACAAAAAACCTTTTGGTTTTCGGCCAAAAACTTCTCCGCGATCATGCGCAAGGAGAAGACTTGATCTGTACATCCCATTCCCTTTCTAAATCCCGCTTGCACATCCCAAATTTTTCCATCGGTTTCTTTCATGACCCCTTCAATTAGTACCTTGGCATACAATTTTCCCACGATGCTCAGAAGGCTGATACCGCGGTAGTTTTTACAGTCCTGCTGCGACCCTTTTCCCTTATATACTGGGACTATCACGGCTTTGCACCAGTCTCCCGGTACCCGCTTCAGTTCCCAGCATATATTAAACAAGGTGTGCAGCAGACCTGCCACCACTTCCTCTCCAGCCCTTAGCATTTCGAGTGTAACTCTATCATATCCGGCAGCCTTACCTGCTTTCATGCTTTTCATTGCTTTCATTATTACATCTATACTTATCTCGCTACCTCCTTCCTCTTCTTTCGGAGTTCCTATTTCATTCAGTTCATACGTTGTCTCCTCACTCATAAACATGCTTTCAAAATATTCCTTCCATCTCTTTAAACTCAAAACTTCATCAT